GACCACTTGACATTTTTCTTGAGCAAGCAAGAAAGATGTACCGTCATCTCGGCGTAGTTGCGCGAGTACTTGTGCAAGTACGCCGCAAGACCAAGGAACTTTCGAAGTCCCTTGACATCGACTGGCACTGGCCAGTCGGTGATCGCCTTGATCTTTTCGGGATCAGGGCGTACGCCGTGTTTCCCCACGATGCACCCAAGAAGTGGTATTTCGCTAGCCGCGAATATACACTTCTTGAGGTTGGCGTACAACTTATGCTTGCGCATAAGTTGAAGAACCTGACGAACGTGAGTTCTGTGAACTTCAACGTCCGTCTTCCCGTCCATAGCCCGGCTATGGACGAACACATCGTCGAAGTAACTCGGTGCGAAGTCTCGCACCGGTCTCAACAGATTTGTTACACATCTGTTGAATGTTGCAGGGGCATTACTCAGCCCCTGTGGCATCACTAGCCACTCCCACAGCATCCCGCTGGGGGTACTCACTGCTGTGAACGGGACGTCCCGTTCACGCATCAGGATCTGATAGAATCCATCCATCAGATCCATGGACGAAAAGATGGTACTCTTTGACATACCATCTATGATTACGTCCTTCCTCGGTATCGGCGTCTGAGCCGGTACCGTTGCAGCATTCAACTTGTTGAATGCGTGCACTATCCGCCACCCTCCTGTGGCCTTTCGCACACAGAAGGTCGGAGAGCTGTGAGGGGATGTTGATTCCCTCACATGGCCCGCTGCTAAGCGATCGGCAAAGAACTTGTCGATCGCTATCACTTGTTCACGAGGCAGTGGCCACTGCTTCATGACACAGTATTTCGAGCCCGGTTTGAGCTCGATCTCGTGTCGAGTGCCTTTGTCCTTAGGCAACTCGCAAGGTACGGATTCAGGGAACACATCCCTGAATTCGATCAAATCCTTATACAAAGGATTTGCCTGAAGTGACTCCCAGGATTGGGACGCGTATCGCTCAATCCGAGTCTTCTCATCGAGGACACTTTCGTCCATCGATGAGCTGCTGAGAACCCGTTCGTTCTCAGCAAATACTGTTGCCGACCGAATGTCGGTCATATACTCGTCCTCTGTGACGAGTACGCAGATCTGCTTGACTTTGCCACTACGCAGATCACGCAAGAACCGTTTCGGTTCTAGCGTTGGCAACTGAGTTATCTCCGAAGTCAACTTCGGAGGCACAATCAGATCAAGCGTATAAGCGCCTACGCTTGATCCGTCATTAACCAAGACGTTCAACGTCTCGGTTTCTTCCTGGGATCTTGCTTCCACAGGTTGCTGAGGGCCTGATCCCTCAGCAAGCAACTCTTGAGGAACTCCTTCCTCAAGTACGTGGGGACTTATTCCCTCGACGTCTTCCGACTGTGGCTGTGCAACCACAGTCAGGAACCGATCCTCTACGGTCGACTCTCCAGTCGACCTAGGATTTTCATGTTGCCCCTTGGGGGCAACAGATTTCTTTCTTCTAAGATGCTGCCCGCTAGGCATGCATCCATGTCCCGGTCCACTCGACTTATTCGAGTGGTGGACCTTCGGCGCAGCCTGTACTTCTGTACAGCCGCCGGGAGCTTGCTCCACAGTGTAGTGATCAACTACACTGTGACCTTGTGCAGTCGTGCTAACGACCGTACCGCAAGTGAGGCCATCGCACTCACTCGCAGAACATCCACACGCTTGTGGACGCTCCAAGATGTTCATCAGATGGCCATCTGATGAACAAGCAGCAGGCATCTTCACGGATCGATGCTGCCAGCTCACCCTTGGCTCGTATTTTCTGAGCCAAGGTAATCCCAGGATGACATCAAATTTGTCATCCAGATCTAGTACGATGAAATCATCATCGTACTGCTCGCCCTCTAACGTGTAGTGGATTCCTACTACTCGTTTCTCAACGGTTATCGATGCGCCTGTTGCAAGGCGCACCGTCATCCTTGTGAGGGGAATGTCGCGCTCAACGAACTTGAGCCTACGACCCTCTAGTGACTGGCGACGAACAAAGTTGTTCGACGCCCCACAGTCTACTAGGGCACGAAGCGACAAGTCATTTGTCGCTTCCAACTTCAAGGTGATGAGCGAAACATCATCACCAGGTGCAGAGACACACAATGATTGTGTATCTGGAGCAACTTTCGTCAAGAGGTTTGCAAATTCTCTTGAGGTTGCTGGATCAGTAGGGCGCTCCGCCCCTACTGACCCCGACCATTTTTTGATGGCCCGTCTCGCTGTTGCGGCTTCGCAAAAGCGCTGGACCCACGCCCATTGCCCTTTCTGGCGAATGGTCGTCCATTTCGCTCAGTACTGTTTGGTACTGGGCGCGGAGCACTACACTCGTATGCGTAGTGCCCTAACTTCTGACAGCGATTGCACCTCTGCAATCGCTTGTTGCTTGTTGAGCGAGGTCTCTCGCTCTCAACATAACAGAGGTCCATTGGTTCTGGACCTCCGATCTCTTGTCGTCTCGGTGGACGGTAAGAGTTTGAGCTAGCATGAGCCTGTCTCATGCTAAAGTCTTCCTGTTCCGCGGCTGATATCGCTTCTTCAAGCGTATTCAGCTCAAGGCGGAACAGGTGGCTCCTGACGGGCCCTTCTGCGAGCCCTTGCATGAACACCGTAATCAACGTGTGTTCATGAACTGGGTTTGCAGTTATACTACTCGCAAGGAGTCGTATATGTTGTGCGTAAGCGTGCACATCACGCTTACCCTGCTTGAGTTTCAGGAGCTCTGAACGAGCCCTGAACTCAGCACGTGGCGGCTCAAACGTTTGTCTGAGCCGGGACTTGAAGTCATCTAGCGACCTAAACACATTTGGGTCGCTACTCTCGAGTCCCAGGGACCAAGTTTTGGCACGCCCTGCCAAGTGGGTCTGAGCAAATGTGAGTTTCATTTGCTCATCTTCGACGCGACGAGCCCTTAGGGCTCTGTCGAGTTCGACAAACCATAGTAACAGGGAGTCCTCCGGGACTCCACTGTACTTGGAGATGTCGACTTTCATCACTTCGGGACGACGCGCATGCGCCGTCCCGCCCACAGCAGCATGGAATTGCTGCTGTCTCAACAGCTCCGTCTGTTGAGCACCGAGTTCTCTCAACTGCTCGGCCTGTTGAGAGCCTTGCTGGTGAAGCAAGGCTACTTTCTCCCTCTCGAGAGCAAGTTCATTGTGAATGAACTTGGCGATAGCAGCATGTTGTTGGTCTCTGTCTAGAGACTCCAACATGGTGCTGACGACGAGTTCGCCTACGGTAGAACTCATTCGTTCTACCGCACCCCATTCGATGTCACTCAAATGGGTAAACCCTTCACGCGTGGCGTGAAAGGTGTCTTCTTCATCCAACATGTTCATGTTGGATGATGTGGTCCTTGGAAGGACTACAAAGTGCTACCAGGTGTAACGGGGCACACCCTTGCGTAACTTAACGCAAGGGATTTGGGTGCCCCGACGGACGTACACGTGGCGAGCGAGGAAGCGTAGGTAGGGTAAAAGTAGAACTGTTATATTAATAAATTAAGTCTTTAAACTACTGTCTCTTCGTTTGACTTAATTCAATTATACTAATATAACTGCATGTATGGTGACGTCTCGTCACCACTCATTGCGCGCGTCTTGCGGCGATTGGTGGGTTGATATCATCACGATATCAACCAATGAACAGACCCTTCTGGTCGACCCTTCAATATCACCGCTTCGGTGATATTGTTTAAAGAATATCCATCTTTATATTCTTTATTGTCACTTTCCTTAAGTGACAATATTATGTAACGGGCTGCCCCGTTACACTCCTCGTCCTCGTCCTCCTCAGCAATAATGACGTACCGCTTAACTCGCTTGATTCTTCTCGCACTTACATACTCACGTTGAAGCTGCTGTCCAAATTCGCGTCACTGCTCTGCGAGACCGCGACGCGCTAGTATGTCCCATTCGTAAGTCATCGAAAGCATGCAACGGTGCGGCACGACAACGGTACCGAACGTGACACTGTTCATATTGATCGTCCAGCAACTCTGACGTTCTGGACCCCGCGACACAACGCCCACGAAATAGATGAGGACTTCGAGCCACTCTCATACGTGTCAACCAACAAAGGTCCTCTGCTCGACGAGGGTGACTTGCTCGGCAGTGAGTACGCGAAACGGTACAAAACTTAGATTGTCGTCGGATGGAAAGCAAAAAGGGGGTTGCAAACACACGTGTCTTTCTTCGTCTCAAAGCCCGTACGACATCACACGGACTCGCGTGACGACTGCCGAGCGTCAGGTAAGCTCGAACGAGATGCAGAGGTCGACAACAAGACCAGGCAGAACAAGCTATCTTGACGTCCAGTCCAAACGTCCGACACATCATATGTTCCTCGCGACACTCCCCCCCTTCATGCGAAACCACAAACGACATTGGCACATTCGTCTGCATTGACAGCGGACTATGGATTCAAATGGCAGACAGAAACGCATGTCTACAAAGCAACGAGGCGGTGGGATGCAGACTGTACAAGCCATCCGGATCCACTGCAGACACGTCATCGGTGTGCAATCATGAGAAACATGCAGCTTGGCGCATGCGATGACAGTAGCTGCTGTCTGTCTGAACCCATGTAGCGTGTCTGGACATTTACACTCAAGAGCGTGCAGTAGCTGGACGTACAGATCACACAATCTCAATCGCTCGCGCATGGCACACCAAACCGGCAGTTCCGTTGAGTCGTTGGTCCTGGGTTGCTCGACCGATGCGGGAAGGTCATCGTCACCTGCGCCATGGTGCCCAACCAGCGCAGCCACGTATAGAAGTCGCACCAGGAGATGCCAACCACGTTTCGCCACACTCGGACCTTGAAACTGAGTGGCAGTCGCAGACCCAACTTTGCATGTAGCACCTGTCTGCCAGACACTTCGAGCATTGCTTTTCGGCGCCTGTCTGCTAGACACGTCAGGTCTTCTTTCGCCTTTCTAGCTCACTTTGTGCGTCGAAGCCATTGCAAGTGCTGCTTCCTTCAGTCTCAGCTTGTTGTTGCTGCGGCCACTGCTACGGCACAGAGTCGCGCGACTGAACCATAGAAGATCTGCGACTGTGTCGAGACGCCATCTGCATTGCACATGTGCGTCGCCCCAATTAGTTGACTGGACTCGAGCTCCAGCGTTTCGTCTGGATCGATAGTGCGTTGCACACTCGAACGATCGTGTCGTGATATCCAGCGACGAGCAGTCGCCGCTCTCCACAAGTCCAAGTGCAAATGCCGTTGCCCGATTCAGTCGCACTTGCTCACAGTAAGTCACCAGATCTTTCACAACCGCTCGATGCGGTTCATCGCACACGTGACACCCGTTCTCGTCACTGATAAAGTGGCGCCCACCAGCAGGAGCCTTCAGATTGCTCCGTGCACTGCGCATGTCGCCTTCAGCTGTCAAGAAAAGAGTCACGAGGCCCTCGTCCGTGTGCCCAGAATTCTCCTGCACACAGACTGTGCGTGCGCGACACAGGCGCATCTCGTCCGACAGCCGCACGAAGCGCAGTGTACGGCACAGCGACTCTTGCAGACTCCATGACGTCCTTCGACGTTATCTACGCACGAGCGAAGCGTGTGGTAACAAATAGAGCCCCAGCGTCCGTCCAAGTGTCTGTCTGGTGCGATAACAGCCGTAATGGCGTCGGCTCTGTCGAGGGTCACGCGAGTGTGGCGTCTAAACGGGAGCGTCGCCTTCTGCGGCGCCAACGTCTCTTGATCTGCGTTCGGGTTTGCTGAGCCGTCGACTGCATCGATGCGCTCAGTCACTCGTGTGTAATGTGTCGTCGACATAAGGCAAATGCACGTTGAGACGCCAAAAGGGCCCAGCACTCGATCTTGCACTTATGGTAGTAGACCTGCAAATGACCTGTGTAAACAAATGGGTACACGTCGTGAGAGAGGCGCAAGTAGACGCTGGCGACGAAAGTCCGACAGCCGATCACTGACACCAAAACATGCGATTATCGTTAGTTTTGGTTGTACGCTAGCAACCCCAAGCGACCCGACGTCACATAGCTCAGAGGTATCCTTCTACCATCACAGCGATAGCAGCAGACTTGTCTAGTTGCCCAGCAGCTGGCGCAGCGCGTCTTGTTCCTCCTTTGTTTCTGCTGCAAGAAGTTGTCGGTTGTCAAAGATCTTCAGCAGCTCGCCAGTCTTCGTCACCTGCACAATGAGATACGCATACTCGTCCTTCTTCATGTTCTGGTTCGCTTCAGCAAACACATAAGCGTGACCCGACGGTCCCTTGATGTTGTACTTGATACGAAGACGTGGAGTGCCGTCCTTGGTCGTAAGGTTCACGTGCTCAATGCGGTTACGACGACCTTCACGATGGCCGCCGTGGTCGTGACCGTACCCGTGGATCGGCAGACCAAGTCGTGAGATTACCTACAGCCAAAAGACCAGCACATCACTGTCAGGTCACAGTCAACCTCCAGCCACCTTTCGCTTCTTCTTCTTCTTCTTCTTCTTCCTCTACTTCGCTCTACATCAGCATACGTCAGTGTTGTTCGAGACGATATCCAGTGACTCGCTATAAAGACCGTTGGGGCTCATGCGGCTGCAACGCACGACAGCATACAAAGTCAGTCTCCTCTCCGTTGGTGCTAGCAGAGCTCCACAGTGCACCTACTTCGGCAGCAGCTCACGGGCGACAAAGTAGACGCCAATTGCTCCAAGACCCAACAGACCCAGCCAGAACCCACCAGTGGCCGTGGCGGTCACCTTTTCAAACGGCGTGAGCACCAGTGCGTCCGGCGCCTTCTGTCCGTCCGGTGTCTTGGCATCAGCTGCCGGCTAATCGCCAGTGTCAAGTGTCACGACGCAGACGCAGTGGCCCATTACAACCGAACGAGTCAGTACAGGAGCAAATGGCACGATGGCACGTACCTTTTCCGTGGTCCAACGGGGACGCGTTGACGTCAAGTGGCGCGTGGGACCTGTCGGGCGGTGGGCGACGACGATCCGGAGCAAACGAGAGCGCTGAGGCGGCGCGGACTGTTGTGCCGCGCGGCCGACGGGGGCGAACAGGGGGCGCAGCATCTCGAGGCCTCGGCGGCAGAAGGAGCGGTGGGGGACGTGGACATGGGGTGGCGGAACGGAGAGCGCTGATTGGTCGCGGGTCGGCCCGCAGGACGAGCGGTAGTGTGGCCACCCGAGCGCGCAAAAACGGTACACGAGCGGGTGCAACTGTGGCGGCCGTCAGTGTGGTCGACATGAGGCGACGTTGGCCCAGCCCGGCACCGAATGGCAGTCAAGTCAAGTCCGAGAGACTGTGATCGAGTTGGATAGCGTGCGACAAACTGTGGTCGCGAATGGTCACGTTGGGTAGGAAAAGACATTGGTCAACTAGGACGAAGGCTCGGAGAGGTGGGGGTCGGTCGGGCCTGTCGATCGTGGTCGACTTGCACCCGGTTCCGCCAGCAAAAACGAGGCATGACAAGTAGATGGAATAGAGGAAAGTGCTTGTGTCGTGACGGACCCCACGCTAGAGCAGCCACAAAGACAGATATGCTGGTCACACCTTCTTAAAGCCACGAGCACGCGCGTTACGTCAGTGCGTCTCGCGTCTCACGTTTTTGACGAGGAAGCAATGGTAACCACATGAGTGACAGCAGCTTCATGATGTAGGCGACCCCAAATGTCCACGTGACTTGCCAGCGCACGTGTGCACAGAGTCGTGAGTGACGTCGGTACCGCTCACGTCCAACAGTGCGTTGACGGTCTTGTAGACGCAAGAGAAAACAGGACTGGACAGGTTGCTCACGGCAGTCTGCAGCCCGTACATGGCAGCTTTGGTACCAATCTCGGCCAGCTCCACTACAACACATGTGGGGACAAAAAAGTCCATAGCTTGTGGCGGCTCTTCAACTATTGCTTTCCTATCCAGAACCGCTGGCGGAGCAGCACATTCTGTATGGTCGGCAGGTCTACCATCGCATCCAGGACAACCACCGATCCAGTCGTCCAAGCAATGTCGCGTCGCCAATTCAGCCAAATCCAACACGCTTAGTGCGATACAGCGCTGTACTGAATACAAAACAAGTCCAAGCGCGGAGAACAACTCTCGTTGAGTGGACGCACATGGGCCCAGTACCGCTCCATCGGATCACTCGCAGTGATCGTGAAGCCGTCAAAGACTCCGCTGACAGATTGGCAAGCCACGATTTGCGCTGTGGCGTAGTTTTGACTCAGCAACCATAAGTCACGCATGTCATCGCGAAAGTGCGGTACGTGATCACCAAGTACCGGCTCCTGTGCCCTCCACAGCGCAGCACGAATGGCCATTTGACACAGTAGAGAAAAGATCAGCGTCCGCTGATCCAGCGTGGACGACCAGATACACGACCCTTTGTAGTCGTCTTCGTTCAAGCCAAAGCCAACTAAATGAGCTGCCACAATCATTGAGACACTGCGCACAAGGTAGACTGTAGACTGGATGTTGACACGAATATGTTCTGGTTCCCACTGCGGAAACTCCACGACAAGACCGTCAGAAGCCACATTGACGATCACGTAGCCCAACTTGCCAGCATTATTAGCGCGATTTCGAGAGATCCCGACTGTTTTGCTTGCCTTTTGATTCGACCGCGCAGCTGAATTGACCTTTAATCAGATACATTTTTGACGCGTAAACTTTGAGAGAATGTAAAAGGATGCGGCTGGTGTTACGAATCAAGAACCAGTAGCATGCTCATGCGCATTAGCCACCTTTCGACCATACATACCCGGCGACGCGAGCGCACTGCGAATAACAGTCGGACGCAACATCAGTGACCACCTTGAACGACCATGGCAGTGAGAGCAGCACGCGTGCCGACAACGCCTGGTACATATCCAAGTGCAGGTAGTTATTCCGAAACGAGTACACAGTGCGAGGGAGTCCACCGTGGACAAAACGCACGGGCGCGTTTTGCACGAGTAGACCGATATGACGCCACTGGTACAAATTGGGCAAGTCACCGAGTCAACGTGCAGTTCTTCTCCGTCCTCACTCTTTTGCAACAAAGTGTCGCCAATAAATGTGCTCCAATGTGTCTTTATTAAAGCTCGAGGCAGCAGAGTGCACGTACGAAAGCCGGTCCAGACGCTGCGCGTCAGTCTCTTGACCCTTCAACTCCATTCGCGCTATCACTCACTGATACTTGAGACTGCGATGACAACAGCGTCTCGGTGTTCTTCGACAGTCTCGCCGTTGCACGCCGTCTTCGTCGCGGGTCGTGCCAAGTCCTCGTTGCATGTTGTAGGTAGTAATCCCATTCAGTACTTTTGTCGAGTCTTTTTGCGGTCAGGTGACGCAGACGACTGCAACGTATTCCGTAAAGCAAAAGATGGCGAGCTATCGGTCGATTTCTGCCACTTGCAACAACAGAGCAGACCACTCTTTCCACGAAGAAGTGCAGTTGTCCCTGTGAAATCGCATTCGCTAAAGATCGCGTACACGCGTTTCGTACACAGACATATCCGTCGGAGAAGAAGGCTCAGCTTCGAAAGTGCGCTCGCTGTCCGTCCGACCTCTCGGGCGCGCACGATGGCGTCCATGTGGTCCTCGTTCACCTATGTGCTTCTCCCGCCGGCTGTGGTTCTGTGCGTGCACCGCACACCTCTGTCCAGTCTTTGTGCACCGAGACACGACCGCACTCACGCGTGTTCTCGATCTATCGTTTTGTCAGACTGCTCTTGCTGACGATTCCGCTCCCGAGTCTGTTGCTGAGCCGCGGCGTTGTCAAGTTGGGCGACTTTGTGTTCAATATCCGCATTGGGACACTGAGCGTCTTTGGCGTCATCACGACCGTCTCGTTTGTCGTGTTGCTGGCGCAAACGTACGACTTGCAGAAACGGTACGCGATGCACTCGGATCCACATCTGGAAGTGCACTACTCGGCGGACCTGCAGGTGGGTCGGCGACTGTGGGAAATAGGGCAACAGTGGGAGAAGGAATGGGAACGGGAAAGGGTCTCACTTGATGACGTTGGACTCGAACTGTCAGAAAAAGGCTTCGCGCTGGCGGTCCGAGCGAAACTGGTGGATCAGTGCACTCACTTTTGCGATCTACTGGTGCGTGACAAACGATTGAACTGCGAGTTGTGGAGTGCAAGTTGGGAGATCAGCCTACAAACGTATGCGTTCGTGTGGGTGCGTGCAGGATGCTGCTACGTTTCCACGCCCTGAAGAAGCAGCTGGTCAAGGTGCAGCGCCACGAAGACTAGATGGCGGTTCCTGAGCTGGTGTGCTGTGACGGTGCGCAACAATGCGTGATACACAGCGATTGCTGAGGACGATTGAGTGGCAACTTCTGGTCGCGTGCGTGTGCAGATCAATACAGCTGTTCTTGCCTTTTCTCTTGCTGTTGACACGCTGCTGAGGTGCCTCGTGCCGGAGCAGTCGACGATGCTACCGCGAACACCCGTTCAGTCTACAACGAAGCGCCGTCCCGACATCGAATAGCCCGCGAACTTGACGTACGCGGGTGACTCCATCTTCGAAATTCGCATTTCATCGGAATAAGACGCTTAAGACTAATGCGTAATATTAGGTGTTATTTGGTGCACTTGTGCCATTTTGCGAGCTCGGACTCACGAAATGATTGGTACGGCATGTACGATGCAGGCTGTGTGGGATGCTTTGGCTGCTGCTGTTGCTGATAGGCAACGACGAGCTATGTACGAGTCCACCGTGTCTCACGGATGTCGAATTGACTCGGCATCGCTCTCTTGAGTAGACATCCAGATATATGTTGTAGGAGCCACATGTCGTTTATATCTTGCACAGTATCTTCAGCACTCTTG